TGGAATACATGATTTTCTCGCTGGCATAATCCTTGTTGGTAACCTCAGAGGTCAGATGTTTCTTAGCTCTAAGCGTTTGTTGATAATTTTTCTTTGCATTTGTTTAATTTGTGTCTAATCTCATCCAATTGTTGTCTCCTTCTACTAACTTTAACATAAGTAATATTTTTCACTTTTCCAAATTCATCAAGAAGTTTGCTATTTCGCTAAAAACCTCTAAAAATGACCACTTTTGCTCATGTTGTACTTTAACAAACTCCTCCTAGAGATTCTGTCTCTTCATCTCCAAACTCCATCAGTCTTATATTAAGGGGTGTGATGTTTAATTGTGAAGCTTTTTTAAGTTCATTAAACTATGTGGGCATAGTTGCCATTGATGTTTCCATTTCCCCATAAACAGGAAATTGTTAATAACTCAGCATTTAACAAAACGACCACCTGTGTTAACAGTCCACGTCTGAACACATCTGCAATTTAAAATTTCTGTTATAGCTTTACCAGGTGGCCATATGGAATACTACATTTAACATTACATTTTAACATTACTGTGACAAGAATATTGGCCAAAACTGTAAATATTTGGACTTTCATAGCACCACCTGGTACATAGTAAGGCTTTATTATGTACTTTTACTTTGTTAATTTGTCTATATGTTTCTGTAATTTTAATAGATCTGCATAGTGCAACAAACTGGCCACACAGAGGCAATGGTCCTCAGGCTCTTTGATCGCTTCTCACAGTTTTGATTCTTATTTTGTAATTCTCTTTTTACCTACCACACTTAAATGTTCATCCTTCACTTATTATTATTTTTTTTTATAATCTGTGTGAGCTTACTCACTAAAGCACAGTCCTAGTAATGTAGAAACCTATTCATCACATGATAAAAGTATTTTGAAATCAAATACTTATTGCAAATACATATTCATAGCATGAGTTCGAATCAGTTTATAACTTCTTCAAATGAATTTTTCCTGAATTTTGATTCTAGTGTTATTGATACTGGTTAAATCAACCTACCTAACATTTAATGTATGAACTGGTCATTTGTTAGTTGCCAAATGTTCAGCCAATGGTCTCTCCATTACAGAGGTGATTACAGAGAAAAAGAAAGTGAGATGTGAGGTACAAATTTTTAAAATGAAGGTCCCTTAAACTGGGCCAATGGGAACAGATTCCCATATCTAACAAGTTAAATTAGACAATGGTGAAGGTAAATAACACTCTTTCCTTCAAAATTACATGTAGGGTTAAAACACAGTGTACAGTGTGCTCCTCCGTGATAAATCCCCCAGAGGAGGATGAGATCTTTTCTTGGAACCTATGGACCTTTTTGGATTGGTCACGCTTTGGATACCAAACGAGGGGTTCTCATAAATACGCAATACAGTGAGGGGAAAAAACTATTTGAACCCCAGCTGATTTTGTAAGTTTGCCCTCTAACAAAGAAATGATCAGTCTATAATTTCAATGGTAGGTTTATTTGAACTGTGAGAGACAACAATGTCAAAAAAATCCAGAAAAATGCATTTCTAAAAGAGTTACAAATTAATTTGCATTTCCATGAAGGAAATAAGTATTTGATCCCCCATCCATGAGCAAGATCTCTAGCTCCCAGGTGGATCTTATACAGATAACAAGCTGAGAGGGCTGCCAATGCTGCAAAGTCACCTGTTCACAGAAGCAATCAATCAATCCAGATGCCAAACTCTGCACCATGGCCAAGACCAAAGAGCTTTCCGAGGATGTCAGGGACAAGATTGTGGAGCTATACAAGGCTGAAATGGGCTACAAGACCATCGCCAATGGTGCAATTATTCGCAAATGGAAAAAACTGTCAATCTCCCTCGGTCTGGAGCTCCATGCAAGATCTCACCTCGTGGAGTTTCAATTATAATGGGAGCGGTGAGGAATCAGCCCAGAACCACTCGGGAGGAACTTGTCAATGATCTCAAGGAAACTGGGACCATAGTCACCACAAAAACAGTTGGCAACACACTACGCCGTGAAGAACTGAAATCCTGCTGTGCCCGCAAGGTCCCCCTGCTCAAGAAAGTCCATCTACAGGCCCGTTTGAAGTTTGTCACTGAACATCTGACTGATTCAGAGGAAGACTGGGTGAAAGTGTTGTGGTCAGATGAGACCAAAATTGAGCTCTTTGGCATCAACTCACCTCGCCGTGTTTGGAAGAGGAGGAATGCTGCCTATGACTACAAAAATACTGTCCTCGTCGTCAAATATGGAGGTGGAAACATTATGCTTTGGGGGTGCCAAAGGGACAGGACAATTGCATTGCATTAAAGGTAGGATAGATGGGCCTTGTACCGGCAAGTGTTGGGTGAGAACCTCCTTCCCTCAGTCAGGGCATTGAAAATGAGCCGTGGTTGGGTATTCCAGCATGACAATGATCCAAAACACACGGCCAAGGCAACAAAAGATTGGCTCAAGAAGAAGATATTAGGATTAAGATCATGGAGAGGCCCAGTCAGTCCACAGACCTTAATCACACAGAAAATGTGTGGAGGGACCTGAAGGTTCGAGTTGCCAAACATCAGCCATGAGACATTATTGACTTGGAGAGAATCTGCAAAGAGGAGTGGGCCAAAATCCCCTCTGAGATGTGTGCAAACCTTTTGGCCAACTACAAGAAACAGCTGACCTCTGTGATTGCCAACAAAGCTTTCGCCACCAAGTACTGAAGCATGTTTTTCAAAGGGATCAAACACTTATATCCTTCATGGAAAGTCAAATTAATTTATAACTCTTTTTTTCATTGTCTCTCACTGTTCAAATAAACCTACCATTGAAATAATAGACTCATCATTCCTTTGTTAGTGGGCAAACTTACATAATCAGTTGGGGTACATAATCAGTTAATTATGCTAGGGATATATACAACAGGGATCTTAACAACAATATCTATAGCCAGAACTCTCTCTGAGGCTATAATAATATTACTGTAGAAGGTTTCAGTGTAATGATATTTTGCAGACTGTTTTGCCTTCTCTTTATCACATTAATCAGGACACAATAAACAAGCAGGTGCTTATCTTTGTCTGTGTTTACAAAGTAAAATAATGTGCCTGTTTCATCATTTTTAATAGCAACATAACACAAATTCTTGAGATAATAATCAAAAGTTCATGGGAAAGTTGAGAAATGTGTAGTGTCCAAAAATGTTATTTGCTGCAAATTGCCCTTAAAGTGCTGACTCATGCACCTGGTGAAACCATGACGTCTCACTGCCCTCATTTTGCCAAAAGAAGGATATGGTTAACTGGGATTTATTCAAAGCTGCCCATTTATGGAATCAGAGATGTACATGTGTATTACTTCACCAAAGCTGGTATTTTGAAGAAAGTTTACCCTGTTCTGTTTCTCGCCTTTTAGGCACCATAAACATTTTTGTGAGTTATGACTAACTATGAAAGTTTAGTCTTTGGGAGCATCCACGGGAGTTTTAGGGAGCATACGGAAACATTTTTATTCATAATAGTCAGGGATTCAATGGTCTGCTGGTGTGTGTTTCCGAAGCTCACCTGCATGAGGCAAATGGTCGGAGGAGTGTTGGCAACCGATTCAGTCGGGTGATTGTGCGAAGGTGGATTCAGTGAGGGGCTCTGGATTGGTGGCTGTGTCTCTCTGGGGACACTGGATCCCTGACAATAGATAACCTTCAGAAACCTCATATACGTTTTTTTTAATAACAGTGATTTTCATCATGTGCCGTTTTATGTAAAAATGGGGAGACCTTGTTCATTTCTAGACATGGACCTCTTGATTGCTAGTTCTTTTCTCAAAGGGGACCGAAAGGTGTCTTTCGGCATACTTCTCAACCTCCAATGGTTAGTTGGGGTACATGAGAAGAAACTATGGCCAATAATTTAATCGGAGTGAACAGTGCAGTTTTCAATAAGGTCCTGGACCATTATATCCTCTTCACCTTTGACTAGTAATGGATCGATTAGGCATCAGCTGTGTATAAAAAGAACCCCGATGCCCTAGACCTTCACTGCAACTAGACCTCTGCAAACATGCCTAAGATTTACCCTGAGACTAAAGTGTTGATCATAAAGAAGCTGAAGACCAGATCTACTGCGGATGTGGCAGACTCCTTCAATGTGTCTCAGCACCAAGTACAAAGGCTAAAATTTTTTTGAAGAGACTGGAGATATTTTTGACAAGCCCAGGTCAGGCAGACCCCACAAGAAAACTCCTCGAGAGGAACATTTCTTGGCTTGAAAATCCAAGACCAGCCCATTTTCCACAGTCTCCACTAGCCTCCATCGTTGATGGCCTCCATGGTCAAATCAGTGCCCAGGAACCAGCACTAAACTGATGACAATTGAAAAATCCCACAGCCTGCTAAAAGGATGGAAGCTATAAAAGTGGCAGATTTTGCAGATGAATCTTCTGACCGCAAATATTGCAGGAGATCTAGTGGAGCCCACATGTATCCGATATTCATCCAGAAAACAGTGAAGTATTGTGGCATCCAGTACATCCAGTATGGGGGTGTGAGATCCGAGTCAAAGGCAACATCAATTGTCTAAAATACCAAGAAATCTTAGCTACCTCTTACATTCCCAACCACAAAAGAGTCAAAATTCTGCAGCAGGATGGGGCTACAGATTAAAGTATCCCCTTGATGAAGAAGACCATCATCCCTGAACATTATTGTGCAATGTCTAAGATCGGATTAAAGAGGGAGCATGGAAGACGAAACTATGACGATGAACTCTGGGAGGCATGCAAGACTGTTTACTTTGCTATTCATGATGACTTCATCAATAAATACTTGCCAAACCGCATGGATGCAGTCTCATGGAAGTCATACAAAATATTAAAGTTGCATCTCACTGCACAACTACTTAATTTACTTACATTGTTTGTATTTGCCATAAGTTTGTTCAATTTCTGTGTAGACGACAAAAGTTTTGTCCAGCCAAAGTCAGCCCTTTCTGTCATTATTAAATCATAAATCTTTTCAGTGAAACTAACTCTGACAGCTCAGTTGGTAGAGCGGAGGACTGTAGCAGGTACAGTGGCAATCCTTCGGTCACTGGTTCGACTCTGGATTCCTGCGATGGGCTGGCAACCTGTCCAGGGTGTGCCCCCGCCTCTCGTCAAATGTGCGCAGTAGAGTGGAGATGGTCACCCCTGTGACCCCAAAAAAGGCAATTAGGGGGTTGGAAAATGAACATCCTTTATGAAAGTTTTAAAATTTTATATGAGCTATTTGTAACATCAATTGATTACCGTATTTTTCGCTGTCTAAGACGCACTTTTTCTTCCCCAAAACTGAGGGGGAAAAGTTGGTGCGTCTTATACGGCGAATGCAGAGTGCCGCGGAGCGGAGGGCGGTCACGGCCGTAGGAGAGACGTAAGAGACGCCACGGCTTCAGCCTAGCTCCTGTTATGGTAAAAATATACCTTCCCAATTGATAATAAACACTGGAGACCGTTTGAGAGAGAACACAGCAAATGCAGCTATTTATTGTAAAGATTTAGCAGTCTCAACGCATTTCCTACACGTGTTATCCGCATTGGAAAAAAACCTCGAGCCTCTCAAAGTAAGACAAGCTTTGTAGTAAATATTTTACTACAGTATTTGGTTCAGAATTTTTTTTTTCTAGATCTTCCACATTTAAAATTTGGTGCGTCTTATACGGCGAAAATATGTAATTAAAGTCAGGTGAATAGCAGGTGTCTCTACAAAATAGATAAGGGACAAGACTTTTGTCAGGGACTGTATGGTTCCAGGATGTTTATGAGTCACTTGCCAAGATCTTACAGGTCACTTAATTTGGGAAAAAAGAGACTTTTTTACAATATGAAAACGATTGTGGCCTGTTTTTTTTTTTTACCTTGTAACACAGTCTTAGACATGTCAAACATTAGTAACAACATTTAGTTTTTGTGTAGCACCAGATTTTATTCTTTTTTTGACAAATTTCAAAGCATTTTCTTAAAATATGTGTAACAATAAAATGTCACCAAAAAACAATTAATTGTTTGAAACTGAGATAAAGTTTTTAAAAATTTAGACTCAAAATCACCCTGAAGAAGCTAAAAACATCACCAAGAACATATAAGGGTTACATTTTTCCTGTTGATTTGGTGATTGGAGGTTGTTTATTATGAGAAGAATTGTAAATGTTATATAATGTAGCTCTATGATTGACTGGTCACATACCCCTGTCATTTTTCATTGTAAGCCAAGGCACCAGCAGAGCCTAATCAGCATTACCAGTGGCAAGGTTGTAGTGAATTGAAGCTGATACATTTCACAGTTAATACGATCTTAATCTCCAAGCAGTTTCTTGTCGAATTTTACCCAAGATAGTTGCAGACTAAAGCTGTTCGAGTCCTCACTAGCAAAATGGCAGGGACACATTGATGACAGCCAGCCTGTGGGTGACTGGGCTTGAATTTCAGCCCTGGTTGTGACTGTAAAGTGATACACCCTCCTCCCATTCAACTTTCTTGAGCCCTAAACACGACCTATGGCTAATTTTTTGTGTTTTTTTTCATAAAACTGACCCCAAAGCTCATCGTCGACTCTGACAATGGTTCATTTTCTCATTGTTTGGATCACATACTAATATTACTGGACAGCATTTAAGAGAACGGTTAAAACGGCATGTTGAATAATATAGAAAGCACCTGTTGGACAAGTTGATGCCTTCCTCCCACAACACTACAGCATTTCTTTTATCAAAAGGGTGAATGTTGAATTGTGTTGTGTGCATGTGTGTGTTCGAAAAGGCAACAGGTTCACAGAGCAAGGCGGTACTTAAATATTAAAGGCTCCAGGAAAGCACTCTATTGTATGCCTCTCGGCAGTATTGGTTGGTTGGTTGGTTGGTTGGTTGAGAGAGAGCAAACTGCCTGTGCTGTTGGGGAGCGTGAGGGAAAGCATCAGCAGTGCACTCGACTGTTAAACTGGCCCCGGAGCATGTGAAGCATGGAGAAACCCACATAGAGTCGGCTGTAAAATGTTAACAGAATTTGGACTTTTGGGACATTAAACATGGAGGGGAGGACAGAGCCTCGGGAGATTCAAGGCGTGAAGAATAGAACTGAGGAAGAAGAGGACAGGTAGAACGCAATGGAATATTCCTTTTTAAATGTATTCCTTAGATTTTTTTCAAATGAGGAAGTAATACTTGACCACGGTTTTTCATGAAAGGTCATCATTCAATGACGCACGGCCCAAATCGATTAATTGAATCTTTAGATAAAAATTTTTAGAAGTCATACAAATAAGACCGTTAGAAGTTTAAATGGCTGGTTCATTATTCTGGTCTTAGCGCTCTCGTCTAAACAAATTTTATTGCAGTTGGCTGCTAATAGAAAACAGATACACGCAGCTCAGATTTCCAACTCATCTGAACTTGTGCCTGGATAAGTTTGCTTTTCTGGAATTATGATATGAGCTATTTTTTGGTACTGTATATGGTTTGTTTTGAGATCCAAGCCCAGGTTTCTGATCAGCAGCGTAACAGAAACTAAACTATTTTACAAGCTTTAGTGGATTCAAATAATTGAATATACTTCTAAACAATAATTTAATGAAATGTAGTTTCATAGGTTTTAAATCGTGTTTCTTTAATTTCTTTGATCTTCATTTTCGTGATGATACATCTTAAGGGTTGCAGAATTTAAATGTTTAAAATAAATGATATTTGAGGAACCATTCATTTTCTACAGCCCAAGTTGAACATATGTGCAATTTTGGAATGATTTTTATAAAAAAATAACATAAAAAAAGCTCAGTGGCCATTGAACTGGAAAAAGAGACTCAAAGGGATGAATTATTGACAGAAACTCACCTGATCACTGTTCATTTCGCCTGTAGAATAAACACTTATTTCAGGGATTTCTCCAGAAATTCAATGCAAATTGACCAAATTCGCCAAAATTGCATTTGTGAGAATTTTTTTTTTTAAAACATCTCAAGCTTTTTTGCTCTGATATACTTTCATTTTTGCAAATCTATTTCTTTTCTAAGTCGACTTTTCCTTTGCAAACTCATTTGTTCACGGGTTGTTTTTGTGAAATTGCCACAAATTTGACTTCATCATGTGTTCCTCCAGAATCGAAACCTGAATGCCGAATTAAATGGGGGGCTTTATACAGGTAACAAGCTGATATTAAAATGGATTAAAACCTTGTTACATGAAATTTAAATCGTGAAGAAGCAGCTTCATTAGAAGCAGATAACAGATCGTGTGATTGTATCTCCTTGGAGGGGTTCAATCAAATCAAAGTTGTTTATAGAGCACATACGCTGCAACCGAAAACATGAAAGACGAGGGAATATAATTTATACACTGTACAAACTCTAAACTTTTTTGACAGTTATGAACCAACCCAGACCTCAGTTATTTTAAGGCAGTTTGGACCATAGTCACCAAGAAAACAATTGGTGATGCAATACACTGTGAAGTACTTATTTTTTCACGTGTCTACTAGAAAGCATATGTTGAACACTTGCACAACAACATGGGACGGAAAACAAATGGCTCTCAACTCTTAAATGTCCTATAAAAGTAAGAATGTGTCCTGAAGGAGATCTCACAGAGAAAGATTTGAGTTTTTGTAAATTTGCTAACATGTAATACTTTAGGCTCTAGCGCCAGCTTTTAACCACCATTTTACATTATAATAATGTTTATAAAAAGTGTACCTTTCATATTTTCAGAGTGTATTTCTCAGCTTAACCCTTATGTGTTGTTGAGGATGTTTTCAGATTATATTTGGTCATAGTTCTCATTTTTTTACGTATGTTAATAAAACGCATTGACAGTTTTCAAAAACAAAAAAAAAAAATGTGTTTTTCATGGCCACTCTAATTAAATGACTGTAAAAATATTATTTTTAACCATTTGTTCAGGCATTCCCGATTGTCAGTGGTCATTCCTGTTGGGAAGAGATTTTTACTGTTGATCACCATTTAGAACCATTAACCCTTGAGATGGGCAAAACAAGCATATAGTTTCTGACGGGTATTTGACTTTAAATTGATCTGGTAGATTTGTTACAGCACTTTAATGTAGTGGCTATTAACCGCCTCGAATAACACTTAAGGGGTAGTGAATTTGAATAATGCACCAGTTTTTAATAATTCTCTCATTTTCCATTGAGTGAAAAAGCTAAACATAATGGATTCTTGAGAAATCAGAGGCAGAATTACTGCGCGAACCGCCATCGGATGATCTGTTATGTACACAAAGCTGAGTCTGAGGAAAGCAAGCAGGAGAAGTTTATCTTTTTTGTGTAGGATCTCCTGCGAGCATGGTCCTGCATGTGGGGGGGTTGATGTGGACAGCGGAGCTCAGAACACACGAGACAGCAGAAAACTCGACTGCATTGTCTGCTACAGTGCCTTCAACCTGGGGGAACGACTCCCGCGGAAACTCTACTGTGGCCACACGTTCTGCCAGGCCTGTCTGAAGCGCCTTGACACACTCATCAATGAACAGGTGCCCTCTCTTACAAGTATATCTCCTTAAACATGTTGTTTCAGATACTTTTGCAGTATCTCTTGAAAGGGATTTCATTGTTGTGTCAAGGTCCATTAAAGTGCTTCTCAAATCTAAATCCAAAACACGACTTGTTGAAAATTAGAGATCAATCATTCCGAGTCTCTAAATGGTACATATATATATTCCAAAAAGCTTCCGCAAAACCTATTTCTGCAGGATCTTGGATTGATGAGTCTGAGCAAAGATTCCCAATGTCTCTTTGGTGGCCAATCCAAGTGTGAGAAAGATGTTTTTCATTGATTTGATTTCACCAAACGTTTAAATGTTCACCAGAAACACTCGACGATACTGGTTTGAAGGTAAAAGGTACTAATACCAATTATTGATTTGACTTATTCTTGTCTTTATCCTCGCTTCTAGCATTATTTTCAAACATTGCCCAGTACTGGGGATTGAAGGTGGGGCGAGTGTTGAAAAGTTATGAGTTCCCCTCAATGCTCCACGGCTGCCCACTGCTCTGTGTGTGTGTGTGTGTGTGTGTGTGTGTGTGTGTGTGTGTGTGCACTGGGATGGGTTAAATGCAGAGCACAAAATC